CAGGGTTTGGGGGAACTTCCAGACCTCCAAGTTGTATGTGGGTCTGCAGGCTCTGGGTATTTGGAGCTTTCTGTCCCCCATTCTCAGACCCCTGCTGCTGCAGGGGCGGGTTCACGTGCTAGATGCCTTTAGACAAAAAGGAGCTTTAAAGATGTGTTTATTAATAAGTACTGAGTAGGTAGTAAATGTTTGCATTTCTGGAGTGAGAGTGTGTGCATCTCTGTGGCTGAGTTCTATGAGGGCCACATTATCAGTCGTGAATAATACTTGCTTCGCTCAGTAACCAAGCCAGATACTATTTTAAAGAAAGTATGCCTTTAGCATAGTTTTTGATGATGTTTTCTAGGAACTCTGTACACTGCTTCTGTTTTTACTACTCTAAGAATTTCTCACAAAGGTTTAAACCCAGTCTTTCCTAGGTGAGAATATCGCCTTGTAGCCAGTAGCAGGTTATTTGCAGTGATATGGAGACTATTGGAACAAAGGTGTCAAGCCAATAATTTTCTTTACTCAAGAGGATTTAATGCTAAGATAATACTTCATTTTAGTTGGTAGAAAATTCTGAGCAAAAACTGCTTTTCCATTTTCTTTGTGTCCTGTTTATTATTTGAGGTAATTTAGAATTTGAAGCATTGTCACCAACTCTTCTGGTGACAGACACATCTATAGTGTGCCCCTGGCACACAGGCACACACAGGTATGTACATATCACATACTCTTACATATGTACGTAAGTTAGAACTCTTATTTACCATCATCAGATACTATTGACTAAACACTAGCTTCACACTAAGTGTGTGACTAAAGCTCACCATGGGTGCATAGGACAAACAGGGAGTGGTCATATAAGCAGAGAAATGGTGGCAGATGTGATCAGGTCAAGACTTCATTTTTTATTTTTCTTCCTTGAAAGTGAAATATATTTTATAATTTACCATGTGAAGGCACAATTCATAGTTACTTTAAAATTCTAGATGTCCCAAATTTTAAAAGCAGGCACGTATTTCAACATGGCTTCTCTGACGAAAATAAAAAGGGAGTAGTCTCCTGGGAATAGCATTAAGCAAGCACACACGTGTCAGAAGCAGGACTGTGGGTGCTGTGCATTCCCAAAGGCCTCTCAGCTCCCAGCTCTGCTTTACTGGAAGTGGATGGAGGTGCTCTGTAGGTGTCCTTCACACTAGCGCCCTTGCCTCATCCCTTACTGCAGTGTCTGGTGGCCTTTTCAGTATCTTGTCCTTGGCTTGTGTTTTCCTTCTATCCTGATGCTTTCCCAAGCCAGCTGCACACTTCCCCTGCCTTCATTGCCACCTCTCTTGTCCCTGAACTGTTTGTGTCCCATGGTGCAGTGTCTGCTTCTCCATCTTCTGTTTTCTTACCTGCTTTGGTCTGCCTCCTTGTCTGCACCCTTATCTTACAGTAAGTCAGTAGATGCCTTTTGGCTATTCTAGCCAGAACGTTTTGGAGTTACTGCAGACACTGTCATGACCATTGTCTTAACATAAGCCATCATCTCCTCCTGGCAAGATTGCTCTCATGGCTTTTCCTGTTGCCTCTTTGGTTGTTCTCTCCTTTCTCCAACCTGCCCTGATAATGTTTAAAATGACTATTTAAAGGTGGTAAAATGGCTCAAGCTTGTAATCCCAGCACTCAGGATGCTGAAGCAAGAGCTTGCCCCAAGTTCAAGGCCAACCTGAACCACATAGTGACCCTGTCTCAAACCAAAGCAAATTAAGCCAAACAAGGCTTTTGTATTACTTGAATAAAGCTTATCTTTTTATTAATTCCTTAGATTACAGAAAAGTTGCAAAGACAGTACAACAATCTCCCTTATCTCTTTCACCTAACCTCTCCTGTAAGCATCTCCTGTGGGTCCATATGTTCACTACTTGTCCACTTGTTTTTCAGTCTACCAGTTTTGTTTCCATTATTTTCCTATAACTTCACCAGTATTATGTCTTATATACATTTTTAATTTTGCCAAATTAAAGTGAAAATACAGATTAAGATGATCTTTCATTTCTCTCATGCTGAATGAAGTTGAGTGTCTTAGTTGCTGTACCATTGTTGTGAAGAGACACCATGACCAAAGCAACTCTTTTTGTTTTCACTTAACATAAATTTTAAAATTTTCTTTAAATTATTTTTTTCCTATTTTACATATCGTTCCCAGTTCCCTCTCCCTCCCTCCCTCTCAAGTCCCTTTATCCCCCTCCCATACCACTCCCCCCTCCAACTCCTCAGGGAAGGTGATGCCTTCCAGGATGGATCATCAAAATCTGTCAAGTATTTTGGAGTAGGGACTAGGCCCTCCCTCCTGCCTCTAGGCTAAGGGAGTATCCCTCCATGGGGAATGTGCTCCCAAAGTCCTTTCGTGCATCAGGGATACATCCTGGTTTCACTGTCAAAGGTCCCTTAGACTTCCCAGGCCTGAAAACAGCCTGGTATTGGCACAAAAATAGACAAGTAGACCAATGGAATTGAATTGAAAATCCTGATATTAACCCACACACCTACGAACACCTGATTTCTGACAAAACAGCTAGAAGTATACAATGGAAGGAGGAAACCATCTTCAACAAATGGTGCTGGCTCAACTGAATGATGGTGTGTAGAAGACTGCAGATAGACGCCATGCACAAAACTCAAGTCCAAATGGATCAAAGCCCTCAACATAAATCCAGCCACACTAAACCTCTTAGAAGAGAAAGTGGGAGGTACCCTAGAACAAATTGGTACAAGAGACTGCTTCCTGAACATAACACCAGTAGCACAGACACTGAGATCAACATTTAATAAATGGGACTTCCTGAAACTAAGAAGCTTCTGTAAGGCAAAGGACACAGTCGATAAAGCAACTCTTATAAAAGAAAGCATTTAATTGGGCTTGCTTGCAGTTTCAGAGCTTAATCCATTACATCATGGCGGGGAACATGGCAGCAGGCAGGCAGACACAGTGGTGGAGAAGTAGCTGAGAGTTTTACATTCAGATGGGCAGGCAGCAGGAGAGAGTGGCACTGGACCTGGCTTGAGCATTATAACCTCAAAGCCCACCCCAGTGACGCACTTCCTGTAACAAAGCCACACCTCCTAATCCTTTGCAATAGTGCCATTCCCAGGTGACCAAGCATTTAAATCTATGAGTCTGTGGGCATCATTCTCATTCAGACCACCAGAGTGTCTTCATGTATTTTAAAACAATCCCCGTTTCTTTTCTCAGTTGTAGCTTCCACATAGAGCCGTTTGTATGTTTGGTACCAGCACAGGAAGGGAAAAAGTTAAAAGGAGAGTGAAGCCGGGTACCTGATGCTTTACAGTTTATGTGACAAAAACATTGGGATCTACTAAGCTAAGTAAAATTCATTACAATCAAAACAGTGTTTACCTACAGACCAAGCAATTTGGTATCTTTTTCTTTATCAGAGCTCTAAGAATAGTTTACTCAGCTTTGAGCATATACTTTAAAGGGAACGTGTTGAAATTAAAGTACCTCTGTTATTTTGCTATAGAAATGACCACAAACTTCTGTTTTATTTTTTAATTTTATTTTATATAACAAAGTCCAATTAAATGAAAACAAACATTTATACACAATATTTGGGAATTTGGGCGTTGTTCTTTCCAAGCTACTTCCTGCTGGTAAGGGGCGCTGTCATGGGGGGATTCGAAGATATCCTGGCTGTAGTCTGTAGGGCTGTTTTGTCCAGCTGTTTTGAATGTAGGATTAGCTTGTACTCTGTTTCAGGCAGTCTGACGTGATCAAACCACATTAGTCTGGAAGGAATCCACATCTTTTCATTTTCTGTGGAAATAAAAATAGAAATCCTTTTCCCCAGTAACTTGTCCTTCAACTTAAATTTTGGAGTCAAAGCATTTTTTTAATTTAATTTATTGTTTTACATGTCGATCCCAGTTCCCTCCAAACTTCTGTTTTAAATGACTACCAGTTAGGGAGCTGGAGAGCTGACTCAGTGGTTAAGAACACTCGCTGCTCTTGTAGAGGACCCAAGTTTGTTTCCTGTGTCAGCTGGTACACAGCCACATGTTAGCCCAGTTCCAGGCCTCTTCCTTCCATGGCATCTTCATTCATAAGCAAGTGTCCCTATAGACACAAATGTATACATATAGTTTTAAAAATACACCAAGATTACAAATTATGGTTCAACATGGGTCTCACTGAACTTAAAACCATGTCTTTTCAGGGCTTTGATCCATCCCAGAGGCTTTGGAGGAAAACCTGGATTTTTGCTTCTTGTTGTTTCCAAGCCCATCCACATCCCTTAGATTGTGCCTCTTCTCCACTTTCAAGCCAGCAGGGATTAATGAGTCCTCGTAGTGACTTTCTCTGAACATAGCTGGGAAGGGTTTGCCATGTGTAATGGACTCTTGTGATTAGATTGTCCCTATCTGAATAATGTCATCGTTTCAAGATGTTTAAACTCAATCACATGTACAAAGTCCCTTGTGTAACTTTCACAGGTTCTGATGATGAGGACACGTCATTCTGTTCATTGCAGAGGGTCACCAAGACGTGAGGAAGTCAAGTTATACACAGAGAATCTGACTAAGAAAAGTTGAAGATGATTTCAAAAATGTACTTCCTGGAACACAATAATATAATGTTCTCAAAGTAGGTAGTGCATGTAGCCTATAGCAAATGGCTGCCACTTCAGAAGCCCCTGGTGAGAACTGGACATAACAGTTGCTCAGGAGTGAAAGCCTACAGCCAAAGAAGCAGCATCAAATTGTGAAAGCAGATGGTTTGAGTGTCAGAAGAGCACTGTTCAGTATACAAGGACTCCTGCATTACTCCACTAGTGAAAGAGGTGGGTAGAGTGAGAATGGAGTACAAGCAGAGAAGCAAGCCTCAGGCCTCTTTCTGCCATGGCTGTACAGTGTGTAGATTCCAAGGAGGAGGAGAAACTTTGAAATAAGAATCAAATACTGAACTCCTCCCAATATGGAAAAGAAATCCCTGAGACCTAAGCTCTACCATCAGGAATGAGAGAGTTTTCAGGCTTTCCCGAGTCTTCGTTGCATTTGTCTCTTTAAACACATTAAACTTGACATGTGGCATGTTGCTGACAGGCAGGAGTTAAAGGAACAAGCCCTCCTACCTGCTTGTAGGGCGGTAGCTTCCAAGGCCACAGCAAACGTGTATCTGTGTGAACTTGATCCAGAAACAGCCAGGCAGGGGACAAAGTTTAATTAGAGGGAGTAGTTGGCTGCCAGTAGTTTCAGGCTGTCTGTCCAGACTTCAACTTGCCGTAAGTAGTTTTTTGTTTTTTAACTTTGATGGCATTTTAATATAGAAGATTTGCAAGAATAATTTACATAAGATTAACTGAGTTCTGCATTTGTCTTCTATACTAGCCCTGCCTAGGACGATTCAGCATTTCACAAATAGTTTTGTTCTTTAAAATGAAGAGAAGCCATAAAAGTCTGAAGCAAGTATTCCACTCAGATAGTTCCTGCTCATAGAAAATGGTCCTTAGTGTCTTCTCTTGGGTGGAGGTGTCTGCAGTGTGAAGCAGGCACAGATGAGGATGGGGCATTTGCAGCTCATGCCTGTGTTCCTTACCGCTGCTTTAAGGCCGTGTCGGCAGATAACACTCTGGGGTGACTGAAGTAGAACTTTGTGTATTCAAAGAAATGAAATGAATGAGAAAGTAGTGCTTAAAATGTAACAAAATATTGGGATCCTAGACATAGGAGCAGCAGAATGAAATGGACACAAGTGTCACAAGAAACAATGTGACTCGAGAGAAATATTTTAGGATTTTGACATATGTACTGATTTGTCAGGTGGAAATCCCAGGCCTATCGTATATACGATAAGCCACATATATGAATTTGTGGTGCTCCTACTGTCCTCATTTTGAGATTGGGATTCCTAGAACGGCACATTATTATAGAAGTGCGCTGACCTCTGTAATGTATCTCAAGGATGTTAAGGCTGTATTTGGTGTTACAAGGGTTGGAATTTTCTATTTTCCTTTTACTACAATGGATTTAAAAAACTGATGCGTAACAATTGTGTGATTTTTTAATATGGACATAACATTTGACATAGTTAATATATGAGTTAAAGTCTAGCTCTTGGCCAATAACGCTGCCAGCCCTTGGTGGATGTTGAGATTGTTTATGTAGAAGTTCACCGTGTTTCCCTGTTTGTTTCCAAGCTGGCTCTTACTGCTGTGTGGTTCTGATGGGATGGGAGTTCAGGACAGTGTTCTAAGCTGACTCCAGAGCTGTGGTGAAGGGAGAACAGAGCTCTGAACCTCAGCAGTTCCAGGTTCCTGGGCAGATAATGTCCTTAAGGCAATAAACTTTCTCTGGCGAAGTTATTTGGTTAGTGGCTGGTCCATGAAGTAAGTAAGACAAGGGAGGGAGTAGAAGTCTTTGGAAAGAAGCCAGAGGGATACGCAACTCAGTCACCAAGGAACCAGCTGTACAGTCTTTTAGTCACCTGGAAGGCCAGACAGGCGTCGACTTCTGAATCCTAACCAAAATCCCTCAGCAAATTTTAAAGCCAGACACCTCTGTGGGCTTCCTATACATTTCTACAAGTCACCTAACGTGCACACCATTGCTGTTCCCTATGAGGCGTCTGACTCCTGAGGGTGTTTGCACCAACCCCCGCCACTCCTCTCCTCAGTTCACTCCAGCTACAGGATGTTTTTGCTGATTCTTGGACATACCCAGCTTGTTCTGTCTTAGGGCCTTCACAGCCGGGAACTCTTTTCCCGGTTTGTCTCTCCCTCAGTCATCAACACTTCCTCCTAACAGGCCTCCAGACTTCCCTGTGGGTACCACCCCCGCTACTATTCCACACCACTCCTTTTCCCTTTGCATTGATTTGCTGTTTGTTTGTTTGTTTCTAACATTGAGTAGGACATTATTTTTATAAATATAAAAAGTGTACATATGGGTATATATCTACATATTTATGTGGTCTCTCTGTAGGCTGTGTTAAGAGGAAAGAACTTTGATCTTGTTCAGTGCTCCATCACTAGGCCAGAGTAGTGCCTTCTTGTCAGACAATAGATACCTGGGAAATAATTTTATGAGTAGATTAATGTCACATAGTGTCATTAAAATGTATTCTAAAGATAGGGGTTCTTTTTTTTAATAACTGACAGAGTCACATGATTCAGGTAGGTCCTGAAAAGTCTCACTTGGGCTGGTCCCTGAAAAGTCTCACTTGGGCTGGTCCCTGAAAAGTCTCACTTGGGCTGGTCCTGAAAAGTCTCACTTGGGCTGGTCCCTGTTCGGGTGCTTCGGTTCTTGTTAGAGCCCCAGCCACTGCTGTTGTTCCCCATATGCCCTTCTTCACCCTTCTGCCCACCCTTCCTTCCTTCCTCCCCCTCTGTCTTCCTTTCTTTTTTATATTTGTTATTCTGTGTAATGGCCAGGGCTGTCCTAGCATCCACTTTATACACCAAGTTGTCCTCGAACTCACAGAACTCCTGATCTTAGAAATTAAAACAGTTAGTAAGTCAGAAGGAATGAAAAAAAGAAATAAGGTTTAAGGGCATGGCATAGTAGCTCCAGGCAGATTAGTTGTCATTTGTTTTTTCTGTTTTATATTAAATTTAGTCTGGCATTTTCATACATGCACATACTGCATTCTGATTATTCTCATCCTCTCTTATCCCTGCCTCCATCAGCTCTCCCTCTGTAAGTTCCTTTCTCACCTTCATGTCTTTTTTGGTTTTGTTTTTGTTTTTGTTTTTGTGACCCATTGAGTTGAACTAGGATTTTTTTGGATCATGTGGAGTGTGGAACTATCCATTGTCGCCTGCTAGGGTCACATGTGGCTGCAACTGCAGACAATGACTCCTCTTTCCCCAGCACCCATCACTTGTCAGCAGTCTCCCAGGATAGGGTAGGGATGTGTGAGACCCTCCCTGACCCATCACTGACTACTGAGAGACCCAGTCTCCTACTCCATGCAGGCGGTGGCCATGTGATGCCCAGAAGCCAGCCCTTCACAGCCCTCCTCCCTCTCATTTAGCTGTTCTGTTCTTTCCTCTCCTCCCCCTCTTCTGGGACTCTCTTGTGGCTTGGGCTGACTTTGCATCAGTCTGTGTGCCTCATCTTTCCCAGTGCTGACATTACAGTGAGGACCACCATGCCCAGCTCTCTGGGTTGTAGTTTTGAAGTTATATTTTGAAGTTTTTGTGCTTTTGGGTAATTTGGAATTGCCAGGCTAGAATTATAGCACATGTTTGTAGTCCTGGCACTCAGAAGTATGAGGCTAGCCTGGGTTATATAACAAGACCCTGTTTCAAAACACAAATAAAACTGAACCACTATCATAGAGAACCATTTTTCCTGAATATAGAAAACTAACCACCAAATATGGGTGCCATGGGAATGGCACCCGAGTAAAGCTTTCTAGGAAGTTTACAAGCCTCCCCTGCTATAAGAATGTATGTGTATGTGCTTTTATATGTATGTGCTTGAATTGTTTATGTGTGTGTGCATGTAAACACTCACTCATCAAACTGTCTGAGGCATGCTGTTCATTTAACCATTTGTCTCTTTCCTTGCTTCTTTATTCTGGAAAATGGGATAATAATATCTCTGCCTTCCTCATAAAGCAATCAGTGTGACTGGAACCAGTAATATACTACTTCAGCCATATGTTTCAAGAGTACATCTTTAAACATGGCTGTGTTGTGAGAGTGGTTTCCATAGCAAAGTGGTGTGAGCAGTATTGTAAAACTAATTTCAAAACACATTGGCAACACAAACTTAGAAGCAGTTTACACAAGATATTCTACAGACATCAAAGACAATTATGGGACACCTGGGAAGCATAGGCCAACCCTTTTCCTTCCTCTCAATGCATACAATACAGAGTAAACACACCATTTGCAGTGGGCCAGAAAAACACTTGGACAAACAGGCAGAGGCAGGATAGCCACATAGGTGACACTTTAGAACTTGAAAACCAATTTGGGGCTGGCATTAACAGGAGATGCCAGCTAGAAGGGCACAGAGCACAGGGAGTAGGGGCTGCTGGACACTTCACAAAAGGGTTCTCACAGCCAGCACTTAGTGACCTCTTCTCTCCCAAGCAGCCCTAGCCTTTTATTTTGCTTTTCCAGACAGAGTTTCTCTGTGAAATAATCCTATCTGTAGACCAGGCTGGCCTTGAATTTACAGAGATCCACCTGCCTCTGCTTCCTGAGTGTTGGGATTAAAGGGGTGCACCACCACCCAGCCTAGCCTCATAATCACATCAAAGGTGTAGAACAATTGAATCCCACTCTAGGCTGTCGGCCCTTTGTCCTTCCAGCCTTCGGATTTTAGTGATATGGTGGGAGTAGTGGGAGCCCAGTGGATGACACACTCGCCAAGGGAGGAACACAACAGTCACCTGACCTGAGGGTGTGTGACAGAGTGGTGATGTGTCTGCTTAGCATGAACAAAGTCTCTAGGCTTAGTCTCCAGGATGAAGACCAAATCCATCCAAACAAACAAACTGCAAAGTGACGCTTGGGGAGAGCTCAGTGCCTGGACCAGGCATTTAGCTCCCAGCACCCATCATGGAGTCTGGTCCCTGCAGTGCCTGTAAATCCAGCTCCAAGGAGGACAGGGGACCGCTGGGGCTTGCTGGCTTCTAGCCTCCCCCAGAGTGAGCCCCAGATTTGGAAGAGGGCCTGCCTCAAAGGGTTAGGTGATAGAAGAAGACAGCCTATGCCCTTTACTGGCTTCTAGGCATGGGCACCCCCCCCCCAGAAAGGCTACCCACATGATAGTTCTCTGCAAAGTGCTTAGCTAATAAAGTCTGTAGTCATGGAAAGCAAGAGGCTTACATGGCTGCTTCAAGAAACTGCAGAGAGAATTTCCCAGAACATTTCCTTCTGAGAAAGGCCTAAGAACCAAGATTTCAAACAACATACTTAAGAAACATAGAAGCAGGTGGGGGCTCTGGGGACACAGCTTAGCAAATAAGAGGACCCATAGTTGGTTCCCAGCTTATACCTTCTCTAATTCCAGCTCCAGGGAACCTGATGCTCTCTGTACACACATGGTATGCATTCCTTCCTATAGGCACATGATCATACATAAATAAAGATACAGTGTGCGTTCATTCATATAGACACATGATCATACACAAAGATACAGTGTGCATTCATTCATATAGACACTTGATCATACACAAATAAAGATACAGTGTGCGTTCATTTATATAGACACTTGATCATACACAAAGATACAGTGTGCATTCATTCATATAGACACTTGATCATAC